GGCGGGCGCAGCCGGGGAGAGCCTGCTGGGGAGCGGGCTGGGGTTTCGTGTTCCCGGCTGGCGAGGGGGCTGCCGGCCCACAGACAGCACCGGTGTGGAGCTGGAGGCCCCTTCTCCCCCGAGAGCCTCCCGTTTGTTAAGGGGGAACGTAGGGCGGTGGGGACCTGTACGGGGTCATGTTCTTCGGGCGGGAGCCTTTCCCCTCCATGGGTGCAGTGAAGGGGGGGGGAGGCTGGTAGGGCGGCGCGTTGGGGTCCTCGTCCCGCAGCGGAGTGTACTCCCCGATGGTGTCCTGGTTGAGCGGTGTGGTCTCCGGCATGCTCTGGTTGGGGTACTCTGGAGGGGGCAGTGGGGCTTTCTCCTCCTGGAGGATGAGGGGCATGCTGGAGGACGGTGGGGGCTTGGAGTCGTCCAGCTCGTCGGCGAAGATGATGGGCACGCCTTTCTTTATGAAGGTGGCCTGGTCTTCGATGGTCAGCTTGCCTTTCCTCTTCTTGCGGTAGCAGATCATGGCAATGATGCCAGCCACGAGGAGGATGGCGGCCACCACCACGGCAGGGATGACGGTGTGCAGATACACATCGTCCTCGCTGCTCTTCTCAGGGTCTTTGCCTGCTGCCACCGTTGGCGTGGCCTCTGAGATCACCCTGCCATCCTTGGTCACGGGAATAAACTGGATGTGCCTGCAGCTGCCAGAACCAACCACGGACACATTCAGAGGCTTGAACTCGGGCTGCAGGACATTGGAGAAAGCTGGGCTCGGCCTGCCAGAGTCATCCGCAATTTTTTTGCTCAAAGTCCGGATCTGCTCCCGAGGGCAAGGCTCCAGGGGCAGCGTGTTGTTGGTCCACTCCACTACGATGGAGCCTTTTGTGATGTCCTGCACTGTGATTGTGCTGCTGTTCCTGTCACCGAATGCCAGAGCCAGCTTCTTCACCAGCATGATCTTCTTATGGATGTCATTCACCACTGCATTATGGTCCCCTCCCAGCCTGGCCTTGAACTTCACTGGAGACTTGTCCCCATGTGGGCGTTTGTGGACGTGGATTTCAAAAGCATCCACGGCAAAAAGCCCGCCCTTGTCGGTGGCATACATGAAGTACTCGTGCTTCCCGATGTGGTTGTGGTCTGGCATGCCATACATGAGCTGGCTGGTGCTGTTGAACTGCACCCACGAATTCTCCTCGATCATCTGCTGCTCCTTCAGCTTCAAGGTCAGCTGCAGCTTGTCAGTGGTGGTGTCTTCCTTGTCGTAGAAGGTATCCGACGGTATCTTAACCTCGAAGTAGGTGCCTTCCCACGCGTCGACCCTGTCGATGTGGTTCGTCAGCTTGGGTGGCTCATTTGGCTCCCAGGGCCGGGGCAGCCCGCTGGCTGTGGTGCGCACGCGGGACGGCGGAGAGGCTGTTGTCAGCTTGGAGATGGGGGATCTGGTTGTGCTGGGAGGCTTTGTCGGACGGGGAGTTTTGGGCCTTCGAGTAGGCCTCCGTGTTATTGCTGTGGAGGAATCTGTTGTGGACGGTGTGGCTGGCTTCAGGGTGGAGACTCTCGGTTTCTTGGTGGTAGTTGAGGGCGGTGTGATCACTGCTGTGGGCTCTACATACCCGGGCATGGTGGGGCGGATCGGCACAGAGGTTGTGCCCGTGCCTTCTGCTACCCTGGTTGGCTGGATAGGCCCCAGCGTGGGTGTCTGCACAATGGGGCCTCTGGTTCTGATGGTGACTGTTGGCTTCCTTGGCAGTGGAATGGGCTCCCGGACCGGGGGCGCCGTTGTCTCTGTGGGAGGCGCGATGGCAGGTGACGTTGGGGTGGGGACAATCCTGGTGGGTGGCTCTTGTGCGGCAGTGGTGGGCGGCCCGATGGCAGTCAAAGGCGTAGGGGTGGCGTTGATCTGCCGCCGCATCCTCTTTGGGAGGTGAGGTTTCTTGTTAGCAATGTGCCAGCCAACAACTGGGTAGCCAAGGCGGGCAGACATGGTTCCTTCCTTAGCTGGAGCCTCCACCTTGCTGATGTTGGGGACGCTGTTTTGGCTCAGGGAACATCCCAGTTTCCATGAGAGTAAGGCCCCGTTTTCCACCACCTTCTTTGCATTTCCTGGCCCAGCCATGAAGGCTGACATGTCAAAGAGTCTGTTATTTACAACAGGAACCAACTTCATGTTGTGAAGTTCCACCTCTGAAAAGCTTCTCATTCTGTTTAAGAGTTCAATCCTCTGCTTTGGTGTCATTTTTGTTAAGTCAGCATCCAAAATGACAGTCAGGATAGTGACTGGCTCTTCCGAGCCACACACAAAAGGCGCTGTTTCACTCGTGTCTTGGACGGCCACTCGCACTGACTGAGGCTCGTTGTGGTCTTCTTGGTGGACCTCAACAGAGAAGACATTTGTGGTCTGTGGGACATAGCTCCCATTTGGGAAGGGCTGCAGAGTGGTCACCGAGATGTAGTGGACACCCTTGTCTGTGTCAAGGGGCAACCCTTCCAGGGAGCTGCTCTCGGCATTCCAGTGCAACCAAGAAGGCAAGGAATCCTTCCCAGCTTCAGAGATCTAACAAACAAACAAACAAACAAACAAACAAAAAGGCTTTAGAAGTACAGCAGTAGGACAGATTTTATCAGCAGTAATGCTTAATTTCAAGGATTAAAGAAAAAATCTAATAGTAATTAGTGTAATAACTGGGGAAGGAACATCCTGGCCAGAGCATGGCAGCCTTTGCCACCTCCTCCTCCACGTCTTGGCAAGGATGAGCTCTGCAGGGTGCACAGGACCCGAAGGGCTTAAGGAGCCACAAGAGGTCATCAAGTTCCACAAGGCCCCCTCACCTGCAAGTGCTCCCAACACTTGCTGTGCAACTGCCAAGCACAAGTGGTTCATTTTCTCTGAGGGCAGACGGGGAGTTTACGTCATGGGGACAGTGACAAAGCTGAGGGCGAAGTTATGCTGTACAGCAGAGCTGATCCAACAACTACCCTCCTCCCACTCCTTCCTCTCCCAGCTTGGCCATCTTGCTCCTTTCCTCACCCCATCACACCCTGCCCACCCTATAGGCATCAAGCCCACTACTCCAGCAGCTCAGCACAACATGTATTTTCTCTACTTACTTTCAGCTTGTGCCACTGTCCCCAGGGCCAGAATGACCCAGACAGGCCAGAAGCTGGCCAGCTATGTTTCTGAGTCCCTGGCCTGGCTGGAGCACAACAGCTCTCAACAAGCAGCAGGAAATCCTGAGAGCTGCATGATGTTGTACTGCTGAGGAACAGCAGGCAAGGATAAAGGAAGGGAGCAGACCCAATGTACTGTCCAGTGTGGGTAGGCAGGGATGTGGCACATGGGCTGGGCAATTACTGGACATGACACAGGACAGCATGCCAGCCTGGCTTCACCCCCAGGCTAGCTAAAAATGAAGGAGTATAATAACTTGTTTCTGCATGGGAAGGCTTTGTCTCAGAGCACAGGCACCTCAGGACTCTAACACACTCTTTGCTACCTCTTTCAGCCCATGGGACTCTGTCTGCTGCCCTGGGTTGTAGCTGAGGGTGGGTGCAAACCCCCGAGCCCCCCCAGTTGACGGCAGCTGACACCCATCTGCTCTACAGCCGCTCGGGCTGCGCGGTGCAAGGGGTGAGGCTGCCAGCTCAGTGGACTGTGACATTTCCTGGGGTTGTACATACTCCTGAGTGAGTAACCTGAGCTTCACCACCTCTCAGGCCTGGAGGCGTTTGGCAAGTGACCTGGCTGGGCTTTCCAGAACTCCACGAGGCATCTCCCCCTGACACTCAGAGCAAACAAGATGCTTTGGGGCTCAGGGAGACACATTTAGCAGCCACTGCAGTCCTACACAGAGCCAGGCTCTAGCTATCCTCCTGAAAAGGTGCTGTGGTTCTCTGCAATTCTGTAAAGCTTATACATATTTCATAATTTACCCAAATGCAAAGCTGGGAGAGGAGCTTCCCAAGGAAACCTGCCTGGTGGGAGCATTCCTGCATCCAGCAGCAGGTGCAGAGCTGGGGCTGGATTAACCAAGACTGCAGGTCCTGCTGGGGAAAGCCCCTGGCTGGACAAGAAACGATGCCTGGTGCTGTAGGGCTGGGCATACAGAGAGTGGTGGGTGCCTCTCCCACTCCCTGGCTGCAGGCAGGATTCAGGCAGCACCCTGGGGCTCACCCCCACACTGTGGGTGTCAGCACACTGAAGGGTCTGGATGCACAGCTCTGCCAGGATAACGCAGGACCCAAAAGTCTTTTGGCAAGAGCAGCACAAAAAAGCTTTTGTGCAAGAGCTGCAGAGGGTTTCAGTCATGATCATACAGACAACACCCTCGTTCCTCCCCTCTGTGAAGGACCAGCCCCACTTTCAGCCAGCCTGGTCAAGCTGGAGAGCACATCCTGAGCCACACATTGGGTACAGCATATAGAGCAGAGTTTAAAGCTCTCAGCACAGATTTAGTTAACTCCTCACCATCCCAGAGCAGAGCTTACAACAGCTGGAGGAAGCTCTCCCCAGGGTCCTATACCTCAATATATGCCACCACGCACCAACATGTGAGCATCCTTCCCCTGGGCCTTGCTGTGTACCCACGTGTCTGGCAGAGGAC